TTCGCCTCGACGTTGCGTCTTCGCCTTCCTGTCGAGCCAGATCTGAGGAAGACGAAGACGTCGAAACGTTAGCCGAAAATAAATATATTTATCAACCTCGTGCAAGCTTATCAAGAAAGAATACATATTGATTTGTCACACCGAGGTTTAGGGAAGGTCGGTTTCGAAATATTACTACGCTTTGTGCTAGCTGATAACACACCGACCTCTGCACGATGTGCGCAATGATGCATGTCCGGAAGAAATACAAATTGTTACCACTGGACATTGTCATTATATATCTACCATCAGCATCGTGTATAAAAGGGCATCACTGAGTGAGGATGCCTCATTCGAGAAGATGGCTCGCTGAGGAAGATCTGGCTCGACAGGAAGGCGAAGACGCAACGTCGAGGCGAACAACAAGCATGAACTTCGCGCGTTGTTTAGGCTGCTGTCTGAGGATTTCTTCGCCTTTATGAATACCGTGGAAAGCTTATTGAGTCGGTTCTCCTTGTAATTTTGGTGATAGAAGGGCTAAGGAGTTCCCATAGCGGATTGGAGGAGAGCGTTGGGAAAAAAGGTAGATTTAGCGCTTTTGCTTACTGATGGACGGCATCACTAACCGCTGCGCTATACATAAAAATGGAGAACCTAAGGGTCCAATAAGGTATTAAAGCTCTATCATTTCAGCAAATACGCAATGAACCTGGAAATTTATGATTTCACAAATCAATAGACTGATAAGTCAAGATGTTTTTGTATTTGAACTACTTGCGCCGCTCTATTTATGACCAAGACTGGATTGTCTACTGAGGACGAAACAACATGTGATCCAGAAACTGTAAAGACGAACAAAACATCGTAATAGGCATGTTAAATGCTATTTATAACTCAAAATTAGCCAAATTCGCTGTCCTTTCGCTTACTTTACTATGATGAAATACCGTGGGATTACCTTACTTCCCTTAGGCATTCGCCTTCAAACAATAATGGTCCAACTGTTGGAAAACAATCAATTAATTACGCGTTTAGAGTAAAACGCCGGGAACCAGTGTTTGACAACAGACAACGATTTCTCAATCATTAGAGTACGTGTGAGGTTCAGAACTACATAGTCTAGGGGATTTATAGAAGAGATTTTATTCTATCGTATCTATCGTATATGTAATCTATACAGTACTCCATCAATTTTGAACGTGTCTAGGACTGAAATTCACCATAAACTATAAAATGACTTGATGGTTTAAAACCTCAAACGCAAGGACGGTTGCTACTAACATAAAAGCAAGTCGGCAAACACTGTTGTGCTCTGCTGGATTAAACCCTGCTTGCTTATTAGCTTCCATATGGGAAGTACAGATGATTAATCAAAGACATGAAAGAAATAACTTCCATAGGTTTGAAGAAATTAGAATTTCATCTTGGCAGAATAGGATAACATGTGTCTTATAGTCAAAAGTCTGTGGATTCTAATAGTCTTTATTCCAAATAGTAAAAATTAGAGCGAGCGGACATATGGCAGTTCGAGGTTGATAGAGAACCTGACTTTTACAGCTGCGCTATATCCAAACCATGTTAGGTGTTAAGACCCAAGGTGTTTCAATTATTCGAATTTTGTTCTTTGTCGGCACTGACCTATTTAAGCGTTCGTTAGCCTTTATTAAAAGAATCAGAACTATTGAAAAGTTGAGAACTTAACGTTGGCCGAATGAGTGCCACATGTCAAGAGTTATTTATGGACTCAATTACACATTGTGATACTCAACTATATTTTGAGGCTTTGTGGGTTTGACGTAAAAAAATAAATAGAAAAGAAACTGAAACCAGTCCGGTTTCCTATCATACACCATTCTGAAATCGAGCTACGATAAGAGATTTATTGCCTTCCACCGTACTAGGTCCATACATAAACCAGTTGATAGAGTAGGAAACTGCATTCCTATATAGAAAACAATAGCAAAGAACATTATATAGTTTCCATGTCTATTTTTCTATATGGAATGAAAAATAGGAACACCGACGTAGCCGTGTTAATGCTTTTCCAAATCACCATATGCATTCGGCGGCACTTGTGGATTGTGAGGAGGCCTACTAATCTGCTACTAGGCTGTTTCCCGAATAAGGGCAAATCTTGACATTAGGATAGAAATGCGTAATTCTTTTTTACCAGACAGAATCTGCTGCGAAAAGCAACTGCAGCTGTATATCGCAGTTTAACACTCTGATGAGGCACTAAACTATCATAAGTGATGAAGTTACCACCAACCACTTCCTGTTTTTGATCGTTTTTTTGTTTTGAAGAAGAGGATGCGCCTTTGAGAGCAGCTGCGTCGAGATCCTCATATAATAGAGAACAGTTCGTTAAACGTAAACTTTTTCGGACAGTGATGTGACATTGGACTGTTACTTTTGAAAATTTCATTATTGGCACATAACCTATGAATCTCGTTGATTTCAATGCGTACGTAGCCGAAAATTGCGCGTTTAAAGTTTAAACGAGTTTATCTCAGCGCATTGTGAAGACTCCATTGAAAGAAGAGCCAATATAATTTAAAAGTCCAAGTAAACAAGGTAAATTACTCAAGAACGGTAAAGTCCTAAGTTTTAAAGACCGTAAAACTCATTGGTTTCCATATGGATTAGCATGAATAAGCCGATTACAGAGAACTCTGGTGGCAACTTCCCGTCCGCGGAGGTATGGGAGGCTTGGGTAGCCCGGTGCGGAGTCGAACAAGTACTGTGGTCGTGATTAAAAAAATAGCAAAATCAGAAAAATAAAACAAGGGGTAAAACGAACTCAAAAAATAAGTGAGCGAATGGAATCACTTTCAGAAATTTTGCCATGCTCGTGGGACACTCACCGACTGCTTGCTTGCCGAGTGCATGGCAAACTAGAGAAGCGCATGTGACAAGCACCGTGACGTAAAGGACCCATGTAACAAATCCAGCATAAATATGGTGGGCATTAGCCAATCCATAGAGAAGAAGACGAACTAAAATCGAATTTTTAGATCCAGATTTGTTTAAAACTACTTCAGCTCAGTGTACAAATTTATAAGAATTGTTGTCTTGAAGAAATGAACTTCTGCTAAGACTAAGTTGGACTAAATTAAACGTAGTTAACTGTTTATACTTCCCTTTCATTGCAATTGACTATTCAATGAGCATCGTGGTAAATATTCGAAATCATGCAGCAATAAATATAGCTTTATGAATGAAATCCTCATTATAATTGCTGTAACCGAAAGCTCACTATAGCCTCCTTCAAAGAACTGGCAAGAAATGTTTGCAAAGAGGAAAAACTTTAAAATCTCGCCCAGCTTAGATGTAAGCAGGTTACGGGGGTTTTGAACAAAGTCCGAATAAAGCTTTACTCCACCCAGCTTTTTGTGCTTGCCTCGATTCTTCGCTCACTGATTCGATACCACACGTAGTACGTACTTTCTCTCTCGGCACATAATTGCCGGTCTACTCTTGTAATTTTGTGATATTTGTTTGTATATCGATTAATTCGAACTGCAGAAGCTGTAGGCATATTAAATTCAACCCTAAACTGTAGCAACGAACACTATCCACTGCATCGTTTATGCAACTTCTATGCTAACAGTCTTAGTTTTCGGCCGTTCTTCGCGCTCGCTTTGTTTCATGAACTCGACTAAAGACCACTGTTCAAGAAAAACCATTCACCTATAATGGGAGAGATAAAAGACGATCTCCAAGATATAAATTTTGGTTATTTGTAATCAATACGCGTTTCAAATAGTTCCTCGTTTAATGCTGGTCAACTTACTTATCTTACATGGAATATCCTACATTCGGGAATCAAGGAGTAAATGACGAAAGCCAAAAACAGGCCAATTATGTAGCAAAAAGAATTTACGAGGGTGTACGAAAAGAGCAGTAGTGTGGCCTCCAAGACGATACCCTCTCTAAAACAAGCAACTACGGTATTCATGCTTGTGGCTCGCACTAAATAGTTGTATATGCAGCAGCAAACAATTTGCAAAGCACAGTGTGATACTCGTATATTCGGCATCAACACGGTCACTGTGCTCCAAACAGACAAGTACCACGAACGACAACAGTGAGGAAAAAATTACTGGGCTGCCTTGGGTTTCTTATGAGGGATCACTGAATCATCGGAGATTCGAGGTATATGAAACATTTCACAGGATAGTACTTTTACTTGCAGTCCAGAAGAAAAAGGAAGCCACTTAACTAGTTATCGTACAAGCCTTATCACAAAATGATGTCTTCCTTTTACAAAATGTACCCTTTCCATTCATCGATACGTTTCATTTGTTTGAAGCGAAAATGTCTCCATATACGACTAAGCAACCACAGCCATGGTTTAGTATTTCAATGTGGTGATTTAATTCAAACATAGAGCGCGATGCCAGCACCCATCAAATTGGGGAAATTAAAAGTCTGCACAGATCAAATGCGTTCACTTTAGGTTGTACTGGTAAAACAAACAGACAGGTGGACAAGTGCGATTAAAGTCTTCAAATCCAAGCGCGTTATCTCAACAACATCACAATAGCATCAAGTGATGTCTCGCATGTTTAATATGTGAAAATAAAAAGGATAAAGCTCTCGGCATTGACCAATCTCTGAAGGACTCGTCATGCATGCGACATCACGAAGCATCGCTTGAAGTGATTGAATGGATATCTGGCCTTGATCATAACTTACGGTGGCCTACCGATGTATCGAACTAGTGCTAAACAGAATTAGAAGATGGAATACAACGTAAACTTATTTGCGACATCACGGGCACTATAGTGCCTATCCTCCCAACGGTTTACCGCCTCCTCGTGGCTGGGAGGTGTTCCTGGGTGTCAGACTGCAATGTACAGCGAGAATGTTCGTCCCACCGGCATGTTCTCCCAAGTTAAAAAGGAGTCCGGCATTTCCATCAATAAGCCTAGTTAAGAGTAAATCAATACCAGGATCCACCACCGTCCTCGTATCAAAGTCGCATGATGGCAAATCTCCTGATTCACAAGGGCTGCAACTACCTGTGGTGGAAGACCTGGGGCAGACTTTTGCCAGGCTGACCTCGGGATTCCAGGGAAACCACAATGGCTTATCCAGCAAATCTCCGAAAAGTGGTGATTATGCTGGGGCCCTCACAACCAGTGAGGACGGGCCGTTCAAGTGTCAAGTAAGTAAGTATAGTCTATACGTAGCGGTGCAATTTGGACACTATGGACAACATAAAAACCATTACCAGTAAAGTGGGTTACAAGAATTTTTTTTACCGCTCTGTGTAAATTCATTTGATAGTTAATCGAGAGTAGATCAAAATAGAAGAGATAAAATCTGAAGGGCCATTTTGTACACTTAATAATAAACGTTAATGCAAAGTTCGTAGTTTTCTCGATAGCTTTGAGTCGTTGGTCGTTATTATATGAGAAATTAAGTGAACATTAAAGTGATTTTGAACTCAAATGCTACTCACAGTGAAGAAGATACTCAATGGCTACATCGGTTGATATGGACAGTATTGCAGTGATGATGCCGAGCATTGCAGACAAGAACCAGTCCTCCACGAAGAAATGCACCACATTTCGGTATTGCCCTAAACATTAACAAAACGTGATAATACGAATATCGACAGCCGTGTGCACGCTTCGCAGGCATCTAGCGTACGTAGAACAAAAATGTATTTAGTATTTTTTAGATCAAGACTTTCACACCATTGAAAGCGAAAAGTTATAAAGCCGCATTGACCAATCCTAAGGTATTCGTGTTGTATTCCACTTCATTTCCATCATTCACGAGCTGAGCGAAAATACATATCTGGTCATTAGAATGACTGGCTGTGGCGTGCTAATGTACCGAGTAAGTGCTACTATCCTCGAAAACAACTAATGCACCAAATTGCCGACCCAAGTAGGAAGGAAGGCATGCTTAGACCGGCGCAGGATCGAATGAAAGGCGAATCCAAGGGATATTGCAGGGTATCTCCCAACATGGAAAACGCTTAGCGCAGTGGTCGGAGGCGCCCTGCAATACGCATGAGGTTGATTCCCGTGCCCCAGGCGCGCCAAGGCACCAGACTTGTCTGCGAAGATAGCAGCACTGGCTCGATACATTGGTAGGCCATAGCAAATCATTGTAAAGACCAGATATGCATTCAATCACCTCCAACGATGCTGGGGAAGTCGAATTCATGGGACAGGATAAGTCAAAACCGAGATTTTTTTCACCTCTGACCATGGCACTATAAGAACCACGCAAATCAGTGAAAAAGAATATCAGTGGTATTGAGTTTTATTTAATTGCTGAATCATCAGAGTTATTACAGCAAACACTCAAGAAACACTGCTGGAGAAAAAGAAAAAAAAGGAGAAAGCTACAATTTAAGAGCGAAACAAAAACCATATCAATATGTATTCTTTCTTGATAAGCTTACACGAGGTTGATAAATATATTTATTTTCGGCTAACGTTTCGACGTCTTCGTCTTCCTCAGAGCCGGTGATCCGAGTCGATGGTCCCTGCTTGTTGTTGGTTTCGATCACCTTCGTGTCGAGTCAGGTTTTCCTCAGTGAGCCATCTTCTCGAATAAATTGCGCACATCGTGCAGAAGTTGGTGTTTTTAAAAAATCGAAAAGAAAAACTGATCACCATGGTAGAAAGCTATTGCATAGGTCGGAATGATAGGTTTAGAATGTCTACAAGCCAGCTATATGCTTTTTCCAATAAATGAGACAGTTTTATTGAGCGAAAGAGCAACGCAAGCATTCAGTCACGTAAAAGTAAATTTCGACGAATTTGACAGACGGTAAGGTTTGGGAACAGCATAGATTTTGTCGAAAAAGCGGATAGGAAACTCTATTTCAAAGTTCCACTCCAGCGTGGAAAAAATATACTTATGCAGTTTACGAACCGTAACTGTCATGAAGCAGATTGTTAATTCTCCAGTCATGTTACATCATTCTAGTAAGCGACTTCTTTTTAAGACCCCGAACAGCTGTCACCTGTAATAGCTATAGTAGCCCTAATATCTTTAATCGTGGACTTATTTAGGCTGCCAGCAGCGACTCTGACTCGTCTCTTTCCAGCTGGGGAATTTGAGCCGCTTTGTGTTGGAGGGATATTTCCTTTCATGTCAGTAGGTTGCAACTGTAGCACGGTGATTTCTGGTTTCAAATTAGCTTTACCTGGTCACCTGAGTGAAAACAATGGAGTTGTCGGTCACGTTGGCCCAACTGCAAATAAACCGGCCCTGCACTCCATATTTCGATTCTCCAGAAACAGCACCAGATAGAATGAGGTGGTCAACTATTGAGGAAAATTTCTAATATGACATTAATGATAAAGTGATGGAAATTTGAGTGCGTGAGGTCATGTATGGTTGTAGGAATTTTTTGTATCTCTCAGCACAAATAAAGTTTATCTGGAATGACAATATTTTTTTTACTTATATTTTAATATTTCCTTTTCACATTACACAGAAGAACATTACAATTGCTTCAAGTAAAATTTAAATGGTAAACCTAACAGACTTTGTTATTTTTATTTCCAGAAATCCTCTCGACGTGGCTGGGAGGTGTTTCTAGGTATCGGGATGTACAGTGGCTGTTCATGCCCAGCACGGCTCCCCAAGCCGAGAAGGAGTCCGAAGTAAACGAATACCAGGAATCACCACTATCCTGGTGTCAAAGTAGTGGTATGGTGGTAATTCTCCCTCTGATCCACAAGGACAGCGACTAACTGTGGTTGTGAGGCAAACTCTGGCTAGGTTACATCGGGAGACCAGAGAACCACAATAGCAAAAGCAGGAAAACTCCGAAGGTATGGAAATTTTACTATGGCCCGCACAACCAGTGACGACGCGCCATCTGAGTATCCAAGTAAGTATCGAAGCATGAAATAGTCGTAGATGCATAGATAGATAGATGAATAAAGAGCTAGATATAGAATGACAGGACGAGGGAAACGGAGGTGGAGAGTTAGAGAGGGGACGAAGAAGGAGGAAAGAGGAAAGAAGGAGATGAGAGAAGGGACAAATGAGAAAAAAAGAGGCAAGGAAGAAAGGAGAGGGAGAAGGAAACAAGAGAAGGAAGAGGCAGAGGGAGAGATGGAGAGCGACGGGGAGAGCGTGAGAGAGTAGACCAACAATGGAATTTCCGGTATAAGAAAAACACTAGTTATGCAATGCAACAATTTCTCGTCAGAGAAAAATAGTTTTTGAAAACCTTGTGATAAATACCATGTCGCATTCGGTACGAAAAAGTTCGCAATCAAGACTAAGGTTTTTATAAATTTTTCATTAATCGTACTGTCTTTAGTAAAGTCACCAGAAGCCTTTTTTGGTGTAATCAATACGAGTGCAGGTATTCGTCGATGACACTATTCCGCACAGTTAAGGTCATATTTGTTGCCGATGACGTCATATTATGGCCAATGATATCATATTGCCCATAAGCTCGCGTGTTTCTGTTCATTTACTATTTTTAGCATTAGTTCTTCTTCACATCTATTGTATTAATTAATCACAGTGAGTCCATGTTTGCTACCTTGTGATTCTGTGCACTAATGAGGTCACTTAATTTTTTCTATTAACCTTGAAATTAATAAATTAAGGGGGTGTGTGGCGCAATGGTCGGAGGCGCCCTTCAACACACACATGGTATCGGTCCACGTCCCCAGGGCCCACCAAGTCTTCTATCTTTCCGGGATCGGCAAATTGGTGCCAGACTTGTTTGAGAGGATAGCAGCACTGGCTTGATACATCGGTAGGCCACCGTGAGTCATTGTAAAGCCCAGGTATGCATTCAATCACCTCCAAGGTTGGTTAATGAAGTCAAGAGCATGACGCATCCTTCAAGGATTGATCAACGCCGAGAGCTTTATCCATTTTTATTTTTAACCTTAAAATTGCTCGCAATGTGACTGATAAATACACAGTATAAGCGCTTTTCTTTTATTCAATACGCAACTATTGAAATTTTTTTCTGCGTGTAACACATGGGTCAAACAAGTTTCTCATCTATCCAATGTTAGCGGGCTGATACCAACGTTTTTGGAAAGAGCTTGTTTCCACCAACTAAGAACAGTAACTACCGCTGTGAAAACTCAGCACAGCATTGCATCCTCCTTCCCATCTGAAACCAAAAAATTGGCGATGGCTGGGATCAGTTTTCCAGTCCACGTTGGAGCCTTTTAGAACGGCTAACCAAAGATTCTAGGAGAAATCTACTCGACCAGTATTTAACACATTCATAAAGAACACGACACTCTCAAGTGTTATCCGAGCTCACACACGAATTCGAAAATATCGAAGGGGAAAATTCGAAGCATGAGGTTGCAATCCAATCTGATAACATGCATTACAAGCAAATCGATGCAGTCTAGTGTATTTTTGGCTTTCTCGTAGTGCGATGTACAGCGAAGGTATTCATCACCTCAGCAAACTTTCCCAGTTTGAGGAGGAGCCAGGCGTTTCCATTAGGAATCCCAGCTAAGAGCAAATCTATACCAGATCCACAACCGTCATGGCATCAAACTAGTCGCCTGGTGGCCGGTCTCTCTCTGAAGTATATGTGCGGCGACTGCTTGTGGTGGTGACGACTCTGACTAGGCTGACCTTCGGAACTCCAGAGAACCACAGTGGTTAAACCAGCAATATCGCGAAAAAGAAAAATTATGCTGGGGCTCGCACAATCAGTGAAGACAGGCTCTCCAAGTATTCAAGAAAGTATCCAAATTAGTTCGCGTTATGCTGGATAGATATGGTGCAATGTTAATACTGAGTTACCCATCATGTTACTATTATTGTTATAGTAATAACTTAAAAGACATGGAGGTATTTTATGGAAAGGGCATATCATATGAACCGTGTCTTTTGGACACGAAATCCAATCCCTATTGGTTTGTAGGCAATCACTTTTTATTAACTGCCTATTTCTTTTTCATAGCAGGGTATGATGTGAAATATAACCACAATAATGCTGAGATATTTGCAAAACTCTGGACAGCAGGTGTCCGCGGTGGGTATCGAGCACGATTTTACCTTTTCCGAGGGCTAACACGTTCACCACTACTCCATGCGGACCCTTTATTTTGCCATTGACCCAGCCGTGTTTCTCTCCGTGGACGAGCGCTTCGCATTTTTGCAAATCATAGTAAGATAAGTGTCTCAGCATCATTAATATTTCTTTGTTTTTTTGCCTTGTTTTTTACGTTTTAAATCAATTTCTCTATTCCGTCCGTTTTTAAAGGACCTACGTTGAGCGAATTGTTGCATCGTTTCTTTACGATGTGGTTTCTCATCGTCCCAGTTAATATCGCGGTTGTCGTCGAAATTGCCATCGTCATCAGAATCATCAGAATTCTTGTCCACTCGTTTGTGATCACTTCGTGACAACACGCTACCGTCCGTCGAATACTCTTCGACCCTAAATATTCTTTATTTGCGTGTATTCCGTGTAACTAAGTATTTCACGCATATGGATCGGATGTATTGATCGATCTCCTGACCCATCTGCAATGAGGAGGATCCACGTCATTATGTAACTAGCTTAATCAAGGTCTAATCGATTTCTCTTTCATTAAATGATATGCAAGTTATACAAGCATACAGTACATAATGCTATGCATTTTTATGATTTAGTAAACACGTAGGGCGTTGGTGTTGATCAATTCCATAGAAGGATACCATGCATTCGAATTGGTTCGTTGAGGTGAATGAACACATTTTTGCCTATATAAGGGCGTTAGGCCACCGACTGACCTATCAGAGAAGTGTTATATCCCCTTAAGCAAGTCTGGTAACAATTTTCGGGGTCCGAAGAAATGGGAGTTAGCTGAGGTCAGTGTGTGAGAACGAACCAGTGAGCAATCCAGCGTGTCTTCGTCCCTGTTGCTGGGAACTACTAACTACTGATTACAGGATAGGCTATTGAGAAAAAAAAGTTAGTGTGCAATAAAGTCTTTAGAAAATATTTTCGGTACAAAACAGTGTTTCATCATTATGAGGCTTAAAATTTTCATCTCACATCGTCGTTTTTCTTTTCTTTTTCATTGGTTTGTTTTAAGTCATTAATCTATCTTAAGTATTGCTAGTAGCACTAATTGATAAAACTAGTTGAGAGGCAGGCAAAACCAATGACCCACATGGTGTGGGGGTGAACGCGTTAGCCCGCTGAAGGGTAATACTGTTCATTCCCCACCACAAACAGCTTCGGTCCGGAGTTTTGCAAATATCTCAGCATCTTAACCCTTTTATATACTGCCTTTTTTTAATGGCAGGGTATGTTGCGAAATATAACTCGTATATAATGCTGAGATATTTGCAAAATTCCGTAGCGCAGGTGTATGCGGTAGGGAACGAACGCGTGCTATTGTCCTTACCGGGGAGTAGCGCACTTCACCACCACACCATCCGGGTCCTTCCCTTTGCCTGTCTCTCAGCTAATTCTATCGATCTTTTGCCATCAGCAATCACTCGTCAACGGGATTGATTTGGGGAGCCCAAATTGGCATTGAACCCAGTTAAGCCGCCCCACCCCAAAATTATCTAGCCATGACGATGACTGACACAGCTATGATTAAAACAGTTCGGATTCAACCACAATGATTCTGAGATAACTCGTATATAATGCTGAGATATTTGCAAAACTCCTGACCGCAGGTGTATGCGGTGGGGAACGAACGCGCTATTGTCCTTTCCGGAGAGTAGCGCACTTCACCACCATACCAACCGTGTCCTTCGTTTTGCCTGTTTCTCAGCTAGATCTTTTACCGTCAGCAATCACCCGTCAACGGGATTGATCTGGGGGGCCCAAATCGGCATTGAACCCATTTAAGCTGAGGCTTAGTTATAATCACAATCTTAACGCTTTTATTTTTTATTATTTTATTTTGTTTTTTTTATTAAGATTCGTAGTATATATATATCTTAATCTTAAGCGCCAGCTAGTTCGTAACCGCCTATATGACCGTCTATGTGCAACTCAAAATTGCATAATTTGCCCCAGTGGTAGAGACGGTGATTGCATGAGCTTGGGTGTAGTTTATCTGATCTCCTGTAAGACGTGTGGCGACGAATACATTGGCGAAACGGGTAGACCCCTCTGTGTCCGCATGAAAGAACACCTAGCCTGCAAAAATAGACCAAATACCCCGCTAGGCACGCATAGGACCCAGAGACATAACGGGGACGACTTCGAAGTATGTGTCACGATCCTCGCACGCGAATCAAGAACACAGGCCCGAAAAGCTCTCGAGGCATTCTGGATTAATTCCAGAAATCCGAAAATGAACAGCAGGGAAGAATGCCTCATTATCACGCGTGATATAGGGCAGTATATAAGACTGCTATTCTGATGGGAGGGGCACATTATACTTCCACGTGATTTCTGTGCGGTTGGTCTCTACGTGACATACTTAGTGGAAACCTCATAGAAAGCGGTGAGTGTGCAAAGCTGTGTTCAAAGTGATTGAAATCTTGATTTGGAGTTTCTTTGTTTGGTTATGGAGGCGTCTGGCCGAGTGGGTTGCTATCAACTNCGCATAGGACCCAGAGACATAACGGGGACGACTTCGAAGTATGTGTCACGATCCTCGCACGCGAATCAAGAACACAGGCCCGAAAAGCTCTCGAGGCATTCTGGATTAATTCCAGAAATCCGAAAATGAACAGCAGGGAAGAATGCCTCATTATCACGCGTGATATAGGGCAGTATATAAGACTGCTATTCTGATGGGAGGGGCACATTATACTTCCACGTGATTTCTGTGCGGTTGGTCTCTACGTGACATACTTAGTGGAAACCTCATAGAAAGCGGTGAGTGTGCAAAGCTGTGTTCAAAGTGATTGAAATCTTGATTTGGAGTTTCTTTGTTTGGTTATGGAGGCGTCTGGCCGAGTGGGTTGCTATCAACTTGACCTTTCCAGGCTCTGAAGAAGGCGAAATCCGCCGAAACGTCAGCTTAATCGTGAACAAAGAATAGTAACACCTCGAGTTTGCTCAACAAAAATACGAAGAAAATCACTTGATCAATGCCGAGGTTAATAGAAAGTCGGTCGTGGCAGTTAGCTCACAAATACTTTTTCCCAAATGCTTGCTATCCATCGATAAATCGATTAGCCGTCTGACCGTGCACTCATTTGTTTTTTGTTGTTTCATTTGCTGCTAAATCTGTTTTTTTTTACTGCTCTGTTGATCTTGGTAGATGAAGAGTTAATATAACAGCACGTTCATTTATGAAATATTTAAAAACTGAGAGAGTACAATACAGGAATTTACGACTTCATAAATTTTCCTAAGCTGTCACCTTCCACATTTTCGTTCGATTTTATCGTGTTCTTTTTCAAATTCCTAAAGGATTAATCGTTATTCTTCATACTATAAATGGCAGTCACAGGCCAAGAATTTGTCAGATCAATAGGTCATTGGCCGTGATTCCGTGGGGCTTGTTATCAGCCGGTCGGAATCGTTAAGGATATGTGGCTAGCTCGCCGTGAACACAAGGTTCCTTTTAAGTAGAACAGAAAAACGAAAGGAAAAAAAAATGGAAAGACCTCTTAAGTGAAAGTGCCTATGCCAAGGTATCAAAAAGTGGATGTAGTTAGTGGATCTTCTACTCTGCAGTCTTTCACAAATATCACTGTTAATGATTAATTACTAACAAGGAGTAAACAATGAAATACATGAAGAGAACAGCAAGCTGTAGAAAAGAAAGGTGCGAATGGAAACTAAGCACAAAATTTTGACGAAGACGCCACATCGAGTGGACCATCAACAAGGATCGTCGGCTCTGATGAAGACGAGGGCGTCAAAATGTTAGCCGAATAAATGTCTCTAACAACCTCGTGTAAGCTCAACAATGTAAACATTAAACAAATAGTTCCTATTTGTTATAAATGAGGACCTCTTCGCCTCTACGATGCTATCCTCACACAAATATCTGAACTTATCGACTTATGATGAATTGATGACAGTCCGCCGTTCAAATATTTTCTACTTATGCGGTCTACTAACATTTTAACTAATTAGTCAGTTAACTTTAATTAATTTAACTTAAATTAACGGAACTAATTTTCTTCTTATATATACATATATGTGTATATATATATACATATATATATATATGTATATATATATATATACAAGTGCCTTCCTACTATTTATATTCCTACGAAGTGCCCTCGTTGAGCTGATACGAGGTTGGTATCAGTTGCTGTTGTTGTTGCTTTGGTTCGATAACCAACGTTTCGGCGACTTCGTCTTCCTCAAAACCATATTGCTGCTTGTGGGATCAACCGTATGTTGTTCACGTGGGACGGCCGAGGCCTACGGAAAATCGATCGTTTGATTTCATTTCTATTTGTTCTGTGCTTTTCGTTTTTTCCTCTTCTTACACTTCAACGATGCTTTGTAAAAGCGCAGAGACATCTCCAGGGTGATCTACGTGTGCACAGTTTTTTTTAAGAAATTTCGCTTAAAACACCCAATGCCATGCGAGTTTTTTCTTTCCTATAGCCGCCTTCTTGGCGCTATCTCCCTTCCAATCCGATGCTGTACGATAATGCTCTCTCCGTCTGTTAGGAATAGGGCCGATTTTTGACATAGAAAAGAAAAAGCGATAGGGAAAGAGGTGTGACTGCAAAAGAGGGGTTGAGGAGAGGTGGATGAACAGACGTACAAACAAGACAAATAGACAGACGAGTGGACAAGTAGGCAAGAAAGAAACAGATAGATGGAGCGGAAGAAGAGAAGGAGTGAGCATCAGTATTTTTTTTCCGAATTTCTAACAAGACCGTTCCCGTTCTTGAATTTTTATTAAAAAACTGTCCACGCAATCAATGCAGAGGCAGAGAGGAGGCAGAAATTATGCTGTTCCCCTTCTGAACGTGAGGGAAATTTCTCCAAAAACCAAGTATGTGACGTTTCGCTAAAGCAACACTAGTTCTCGCTGTCGTGTAGTTCGCTCAAAGTAGAGTGCGACAGGTATGGACCAACTAAGGAATGGAAAGCGCGATGCTAGTGATCACGTTCATGACACCGACGCCAACTCAGCCACCTAAAGCACTGGTTCAACCTCGCATTGGCTCACCAAATCTATAATCGTTCTGATGTTGGGAAATGGGTACCAGACTTCTCCGGGACAAGTCCAGTTCCTCTATCCACGTGGGAGCACCTTAGCACTACTATCTCGGGGTTCCAGGGAGAGGTCAGCACTGAATAACATTCGTAGTAAGAACGAAAAAATCTTCAAGCAGCCACTGAGTTCATTCGCAAAATGGGTTCAAAGACTTTCGTAGATGGTGGGTTCGAGAAAACGAATTGAATACAAGAATTGTTGGAGTCCACATATTGTGTTATACTGGCCGTCGAGTCATGTAGTGAAATAAAAAATAGAGTGGTTTGTATAATAACAACAATGCCGGTCGTAATATTAATATTGGTAACGACAACAATAGTGACAGTTTCAAACTCTACTACAATAAAAAGTAGGAGTACTTTGTAGAGTTTTTATGCAACCGTGATTTACGAACGGCTAACGAAGTTCTGCAATAGTCACTTCATAAAAAGCAAAAAAATGTCGTCCGAGCAGTAAAAACCAGTTCTGGCAGATGTATGAGAAACGATCAATCACAACTTTCTTTGACGTGTTCACTGGCGGTGACTGATGTGTTTGGCAAAGTTGTCACGTTAGCGAAGAAAAACTTCTAGGAGGTTTTGTTATAAGCCTAATTGTAATGGATTCAGAAGAACGTGGTCAATAAGTAAGTGAGAAAATCTAGTCGTTTCATAAGAAATTAAATCACGAGTTACTGCAACATGTTTACTGTTGATTGGCACAATAGAATTTCATAAGCATGCCTGTTAAATTAGTAGCTAAAAGGTCTTATAGAGTTTCTTGAGATTGTTCAATGATGAGTAATCCAACGAGAATTAATCATGGCCACCAGTAAATAGCTAGCTTCGGTGGCTTGACAAATGTCAAAACATGATTCGCTATGAATGGGCCATTTTCGGAAAAAGGAGGCTCACCGTGCCGAACGATTGAAGGCGAACTTAGCTGCGAATATGGAGAGAGGTAGCTCAGTGAACGAATTATGGAACGATCGAGACGAGTAAAGAAATTACAGTAACTGGTTGAATGCGTCGCTTCTAAGGAAGGAGGGTCTGTAAGCTTTGCTTTCCACTAGAGTTCCGTTGTGGAGAAACAACTGACTGGACGGGTACGCTAATTAAAGCTGATAATGTTTTCATTTTTTATTCTACACGATCCAAACGCTTATTATGCGGATTCCAAGTCTTCTTGAATTCGATTCGCTCCCTCGCGTCTATCATTAAGGAAAGTTTCAAGCTTTTTGCGAGTGGCATCGGTTGCTGGATGAGGATTTTCCCATCGTCATCAATGTCATTGAATGTTGCTCCAGTCCCTTCTCCTTGGAGTGCTCATTTAGCCGAGCCAGGGAGTTCCCACTAAGACTCCTAAGAATTTTCACAGACAAATATGGAACCAAATTGCAGAACCCGGAGGGACAAGCGGCGGTGTATGAATGGCACTTGGCTATGATCGAATTTTCGCTCAGTGAAAAAGAATTCATTGGAAAGCAGCGAACTCGCTCTGAAACCACTTTACAGGTCCATACTTTTTTTCAGGAGAAGAATAGTGTTTTCATGGAAAATAACTGGTGGTGTTCAAAATGCGCCGATGATCAAAGACTGAAATACTATTAATGATTGTTATTAAAGAAGGACCAAGCATTGGAAAGCAAATATTATCACGAGAACGTATGACTAATGTTATTACTACTATTATTATTATTAATTGGATCAAAAGAATTATGGATTAAGTGAGCGTTGTTTCTGGTGGTCTCTTGCAGGCCACTGCATTATTTCAATTTTATATCCCAAGTGGAAAAAAACTTGTTTTATTCGAATATTCAGAAGCTTTGAAGAAATAAAAACTGCTCCAAAATGAAGTCTTAATACTCAGGAAGTCGTCCAAGTGATATCGTTGTGAGGTTTGTTTAGAAAATGTTGGAGTAACTATAAAACGAAGATGGCGCGTGCAGAAGATGTTAAGAAATAACACTCGCCATTATTCGACAGCTAAGCACTAAACAATGGCTTAGTTGATTACTTTCAGCTTTATTAAGTAAGTGTATTACCAATTCTCTAAGAGTTAAGGCAATATGAGAAACGAATAAACTCACCGTGAAGGCTTTTGCGTGGCGACGGTGGTCATCAAGCCAACGTTGTCGCTCATCTTGTCCAACGTCTCATCAATGGGCGGTATTTGTTCGTCTTTCGTCATGATTATTTTACCACTTACAGTCTAGATCGTTAGGCTGCTTTACACTTCATTCATTCATCACACACTTCCGCCGTCGCCGCTGTCTCTGCGGCCTCCGTCGCCATCGTCGTTGTCGCCTCGAAACTACGAAAGGAAAACATTAGCACTAAATTTAGAACGGCAGTGAGACCGAAACGGGAAAAAAGAGACCTCAAAGTGCAAGGCTGTCATTAGATGTAAAGGCACCGGACTTGAACAGATAACAGAATGTTTGCGACGGTTTACAATCAGAAACAAAATACATCATTGAAACTCAATGGAAGAAAAATGAAAGCAAAGTAGCTACAAGAAAAAGACAAAGAAGAAGATGAAGATAAAGAAGAAAAAAACGAAGAAGAAGAGACCGTTGACTACTGACTTGTACAGAAAGTTAACAGAACGATAGAAGAGTTAGTGTTTCATTCATCATCATAAACAAGTGTGCCATCCAATTTACATTACGCCGTCAGAGCAAACAAAGAAAGAAATGAAAAGTGGTTGAATAAATATTTAACATGAATCTGAATATAACAGTAGTTCACTAACTTGTTTTCCTCAAAGAGCTACAGCTCACAGAAGCGTCCAACAATATACCTTTAAAAATTGACCAACAAAATCACGTTTAGCATCGATATGTAGAACTTTTCGCCATGTGGCACTTAAGGTGTAATAATGTTACATTTTATTAGAGATGAAAATGGGAAATGCTTGACATAGACGGCTTCGGGATTTTGGCACGCACACAAACACGACAAGCTATGTTATCACTTTGTACTTCGATTGATCGTCAGCGGAACGAGTAGATTGTCTTCATGTAGCTGTTCTACTACACATCCGGCTGATAGCATAGTATGTGACGGACGTATTGTTTGGTCAGTGTGTACGCTACCGTCTCCTTTCGGCATATCTTCCAATGTTTTGTAAGCATGTCGGTGTGTATACGTGTATGTATGTATGTATGTAATGTATGTGTGTATGTATGTATGTATGTATGTATGTATGTATATGTACGTAGGTAAGTATGTATATCTTTGTGTACAACGTGTGCGTATTTTTAGGCGAAAATGTATGCGGTGAAGAACGCAGAACATTAACCGCAGCAAAATTTTCGACATGAAAAAGACAAGTCTCCCTGGCGACCAACGACAGTTAGGAAGTAATGAAAGTAATTCGATAGCGTTTGCAAAAAGTATTTTAACACTTCCCAGGATCGACTTTCTACTAACCTCGACATTGGATTAAAAATTCGTCGTTTTCTGCCTCAGCAATCGAGCCGCTGATTAGCGTCGCATCCTCAGTGGAAGGCACCTAGAAACGGTGGGTTTTTCGAGAAACTGTTGACCATGTGACTAACATTAGATTTTCCTCTTTCTGCATGTGTTGTTGAAGCGTTTGACGTAGTAAATTGCATATCACTATGTCCTTCCAGGCTCTGAAGAAGGCGATTCTGCCGAAACGTCAGCTGCAATTGTGTTGTACGTGTGTTATTGTATGGAAGCAAACGTATGCTGTTTAACAACCTCGCGATTGTTGAGACAGAAAACGGCGAATTTATTTTAATAGTGTAAAAATTTTTGCCTACTGCCTATAATTCTTGCATGGCACAGTGTTATGCGAAATACAACCATAACGTTGCTGAGATATTTGCAAAACAGAGACCCAATGCCGCATTAGAATCTTTGACTACCCTTCACGTGTTATCCTGGTACCCACTGCACCATTAAGGCCTCAGCTTCCCCTTTCTCTCAGCGTCCTTTTCACAAATATTTCACCATCACTGTGGTTATTGTCCACATATTACACCATGCCATGAAAAAATAATAGGCAGTAAACAAAAAGTTATACATTGTAATTTCGACTGCAGCCTCAGCTTAATCGGATTCAGTGCCCATTTGCGCTCATAAAATTATCCTGGTTGGCTGGTGATGGCTGGTAGCATTGTTAGGGTAGAAAGATGGCTGAAAGAAAGGCTAAGCAAATTTAACAGCGTTATCAGGAAATAAAGGATAAAGGGTGAAGCTCTCGGCTTACATCAATCCTTGAGGATGCGCCATAGGCTCGACTTCATTAAGTGCCATTGGAGGTGATTGAATTTATATTTGTGACTTGTGACTGGCCTTTACAATTACTCGCGGTGGCCTACAACGTATTGAGCCGTTAGTGTATCCTCCTAAACAAATCTGGTACCAATTTTTCTATCCTGGAACGATGGACCTCTTGTGGGTCGAGGACGCGGGATCGATCCCATCTGTATTACAGGGCGCTCTAACCAGTGCGCTACACGCGCCTCCTTGTTAGAAGGATATGTGTTGGGAAACTTTCTAATGAAGCAGTCGATTAGTTGATATGGATTAATGCACGAGTAGAAATTGCTTAGATTACTGCGTAGAATTTTTACAAAAACAAATACAGTAATAGCAACGAGTGACGACAGGAAGTCAACTGCTGTTAATGTCAAGGACGATTCGTAGTTTGACATTCGTTGTTTTGCAGATAAAATTGTTGTATGGTAGATGTTCTGTGTGAATTGAAATGTTGATGACTCAGAGTGTTAAGTCGTGTTTTGGAAATTGTCGTATTGATTTACGAATTACTCGATCATTACATTCTGTCAGCAATACAGTAAGATTTAGAAACCTGACTAATCATTATGTGAAGAGAGACCTACACGAAACGTTTTTTTAGCCTTTCCTTTCAAATTGTTCAGTCAAATTTATTCACTGTGCAAACGAGATTATGCTCCACTATCATGTTGATCACATCTGTTGATGAATAAAGGCTTTTTCAGATCTGAAGCGCTCAAATTTAGACTTGAGGAGAGATGAAAAGCGGTCGGCAATCTCGTCTTAGGAGTTTTCGACTTTCCTTTGACATCTTGTCACTACTCGAGAACACTGTTAGTTCATGATGAGCTTGTATTGTGGTAGTTTTCAATTTCTTAAACACAACATTGCAATTTCATACCGTTTTTATGAGTTAGTGAACCGTCTGACAAATGTTTTCCTACGCAAAGATATTATTGCCTCTTCACTCATGACTTACTTGACAAGTAATTGACCGTTTGCATTTATATCGATGCATAGCCTATCCGACTGCTTATTTTTTCACAGTGGCTATTTCACACGCTTTTTGTATTGATTGAAAATCTCATCTAATGCCTACGTGGAAAGGACGTAATCCATGAAAAACCATTCTTTACGTTTAGTGATTTGCAAAAGGCGTTTTCTTGGAATGAACTTTTCAATAGACGCCACCAGCCATGAAAAATTAAGCACAGTCCCAAGAACGTGCTAAGCAAAATTAAGCATTTTTCATCTTTCTCACCCACTTTTTGGCAAAATTTCTCATAAACCTCGTGTTTGCTTATTAATCATGGAAGGTGTTGAGCGCGAGGTGAAGAAGTTGCATACCTGTTAACGAGCTTAGGAGTTTGATAAGATAGGTCATGGGCAATCAATTAGATGTTGCCTCCATCCTTTGGCTTTTCTCACGATAATGTTATACTTGAGCATTTTCATCGTAAAGAACGACGATCTCAGAAAAAGCGGTGAAGAATCTCTACCGTCTTTTCACGCCCAGATTAGCCACTGTAGTGGTCATCGATCGTGACCTATCAGCCATCGTATCAATTCATAATGGTGTAAATGGTTAAGTTTCGCAAAAAGCTTGTGATGATATTTCTTTGCGAATACTCGATATTTCAGCCGACTCCGCTTATTCTCTGCATCTAAGACCTTAAATGACCAGTTTTAAAAGGCTTTCTGACATAAATGAAAGCGGTGCAAAAAGGATCCAGTGGATGGACTCCCTGTTTCTGCTGCGCTGATTTGCAAATAGTTTCTGTACTTGCTAGGCGTATTCACGCATGCATGTGTGGGTGCGTTCTTGCTTATGCGGATTGTATTCTACGAGTCAATTCGGCCAAAAGCCTGCAATCAAGTAACAGGGAGTATATGGGAGGCGGTTAGGAGTCGCGTCCAACAAATAAGCTCCATGTCCACTCTGGGAGAGCCTGGCAAGCTACCCGTGACTATATCCAGCCCTCACGTTCAGAGCCCAGCAAGCTCTACGTGGGAGTCAAAATGCTAAACACAGTAAAAGAAACGGCTCTTATTCCTCTGACGCCGAAAGAGCCCCCAATTTCGCAGGATTGCGTAGGACGAGTACGGAGAGGCTGCCAAAATCTCAGGGCCAATGAAAGCTGCTTAGATTACAAAGAACTATGGTGACGATCTGTACCTACAATGCACGTACACTCGCATCAGAGTCCTCGATAGAAGACTTGCTCATGCAAGCAAAAAGGATAAGGCATGACGTCATCGGCCTGGCCGAAACGAGGAGATGCCAGCCTTTCAACGCTTTCTATGACACCGGAGAAGAACTGTTCCTCGGAACATGCGACAGTAGAGGAGTCGGCGGCGTCACCGTTCTCGTCAACACGAGTTTGTCCATGAACATCGATTCATTCGAACAACTTACAACCCGAATCGGACGTTTACGATTAGGAAGACGTGGATCAATTTCGGCTTTGGCAATCTTCGTCGTTTACGCGCCGACATCAAACTATGACGAAGAAGAAGTCGAAGCGTTCTATATGGGCACGGAGAAGTTCTACAGAGAAGACCATATATTCATCAAGGTTATCGTCGGAGATTTCAACGCTAAGTTTGGACCAAGAAGAACGTCACATTGAAACTCTTGGAACGAGCGGGCGGAGTGGGTGCCCTAGTTTATCATGCCGACCAAGACCACCCGTGGTATCTCACAATTCCAGAAGCCCCACGCTCAACTCTGGGCTGGGAGTTTCCCAGTTGAGAGTACTACGACGAAACAGACCACATAATAGTAAATAGAAAGTTTGCCTTTACCGATGTCGCTGCTGTCTAAAAATTCTACACGGGATCAGACCATCGTCTCCTCCGTGCGAGATTCTATTTTTCGCTGAAAGGAGAAAAAGAGGCCAAATTCCAAAACCGAAGTCC